AACTTTCCAAATATCATTATAGGATTATTCAACTTTAAATGTGTTTAACTTTTTAAGACCTTACTGTATACCTCTACGTATTTTATGTTCTTAGAATATAAAGGTAGGTAGGATAAAAATCTCTGCCTTCAGACATCTCACAGTCTAGTGGTGAACACGGCTACCTACCAGTTACAAAACAGGGTGAGTGAAAAGGTCGGGGTGGACTAGGGAGATTGAAGAAGATTTCTTTGGGGACGTAATACCTGAATTGCATTTTGAATTATTAGTAGGAACTTGCCAGACAGAAGATCACCAAGTTGGTGGAAAGACTCAGAAAACTTGTTCAGTGCTAGAGACCACATGGGGAAGAGGACAGCACAGTAAGCATTGGAGAGAGTGGTAGCAGGTTGGGTTTGATATATGTTGGGATAGGATTACTGCCCTCTATTCTAAAAAGTTTGATTTCATTCTGTAGAGCTGGGAAGCCTCCAAAGATACTTGGCAGGACAATGACATGATTAGGTGTGCACTTTACAAAGATCACCTTCGCGATCTGTTTGAAGGATAAATTCACAGGCAGAGAGACGAGGGAGAGAAATTGGGAGAGCCAAGTGATAGATGTTTAAGAACTAAACCAAAGCAGTGTTAAAAGATTAAGGCAGGAACGGTTAGGTAGACCTGTGGTTCTCCAGGGTGACACTGCCCCTAGTGGGCATTTTGGATATTGGCAGCATTTTCTGGTGGTTATAGTCAATGGGGAGAACTACTGGCCTTTAGCCTGCAGAGGCCGGGGATGTTAGACATCCTGCAATTAAAGGGACAGTATCATACAATGAAAAATTATCCTGCTTCCCACATGACTTTCAAGTATCCATCTATGCATTCTTGTAGGTGAAAAACCTAAACAACCATCTTACATTTAAATTGCAAATACTTATAGAATGGTTTTAATATATGCTGAATTTTCCAGGAAGGCACCTACTGTGTTCATCAAAGGAAAAATGTATATTGTTTTGTTTGGGATGCAACCAAAATTGTATCTCTGACAGCTGTGTTGCTCATGGTATTTGAATCACTAATACAAATTAACTATATCAGTGTGCATTTGTATTTATTGCATTTACAGTAATTCTTATTTCAAAGTGTCTAAAGACAAACTGTTTTCACTATTAATTTGAACCTTAGTCTAATTGCTCAAGTCCTAGCCTGGTTATAAGTGTGTGTGTAAGTCACTCAGTTATGTCTGACTCTTTGCGACCCCATGGACCGAAGCCCACCAGGCTCCTCTGTCCCTGGGATTCTCCAGGCAAGGATACTGGAGTGGGTTGCCATTCCCTTCTCCAGGGGATCTTCCTGACCCAGGGATCAAACGCGGTCTCCTACATTGTAGGCAGATTCTTTACCACTATGCCACCTGGGGTGCATATTAACTCTTCATTAGGTCTTCTAGTATAGTCATTTATATATTATACTACCTGTTATTTATTATTTAATTATGCTCTTATTTCTCTTTTATATTTTAATTAGTATAATATGTATTTTTTAAATTTACAAAAAAATAAAATTTACGTGAAGGGATGCTTTATATAAAGACTTTATAAAATGCTTGTTTTTAAAAAGGTTGAAAATAGCCCATATAAATACTTGAGGTAGAATCTATAAATCTTGTTGATTTATTCAGCGTGGAGGAAAGAATGGAGGTATTTATAATTCTAAAACATGTGACATGATAGATAGCTTTTATATTTTAAATGATGTCCAAGAGAAATCCTAATAATTCTAGATGGAAGAGTCAAATTTACTGTAAGGAAGCTGAAAAATACCTAGAGTAAAGAATAGAACAGTGAACTTATTCACTTAAAGAAGACCTAGCTTATTTGTTTGTAATTATTGTCTTTTCAAAAGAAATTGTAATAAATATTTAATTCAGTAGTGTTACCTAATGCTCTTTTTCTAATGGAAATTAATTCAACTTTGAAGTTGACATTGAAGATTTTCCATTTCTCTAGTCCTTGCCCAAACTGGGTTCTAAACCAAAACTGGAATTCAGCCCAGCAATGGGAGCAGTTGCAATTGTAGCTACCATCCAAATTTAATTAATTTCAATTAAATTTAATACAGTTCAATAAATGTTTACTAATGTGCCTTTTTGTATGGAATTCACTTTGTCTTCCAAATAGAGTCATCTCCAAAGCCAGAAATTTTTCTTAAAAATTTTCTAATTCTGGCACATTGATAGGCAGTCTAGTGCATGTCCATGGCAGAGGTTCAGCAGATAGACTTGGGCCAAAGCTTAGATATATGACCCAGGTGTCTTTAATCTATTTTCCAAGTCATATTCAGTGAGCTAAAGGACATAGGTCAATAAGTTGCCTGTAGCACTGCTTGAGATATTCAAAGCCAAAAATAGAATATTTATCAGATTTGGTTTTGCTCCCCTATACAAAAATCCAGAAGAGAAAACTGAAAATATTGTGTATTTTGGAATAGAAATTTATCACATTAGCTTGGCAGTGAAAAAAATGTTTAACTAGGGAAACAAAATCAAGCCAGCATCAAATCTTATGACCTGAACAATGAGTGGGTGTTATGTGTTTTCTGTAGTTAATAACAAATATTTTAATTCACTTAAAATGTTAGAATAAAGGAGTTGGGTGAAAAGTGCATGTCAAAGGATACCTATTTTGAACTTGAACGAAGGCCTGCAGGAGAAATGTGTGACATAAAAAGATACTTGAACCCCCTAAGTACTAGTGCGATGACATTTGAAAAGGGGTAATATTCAAAATAGTTTACAACTAGTATGGTACAGTCACTGACCACTAAGTGTTCAGTAATCAGACTGGATGCCACCTATCAACAAACAATAGGGCTTTGGTGGTGCAAGTTGCCTGAATACAAGCAATTACATATAAAAGTTTCTGATTCTCTTGGCATCCTCCACAGTACAGGTAATCACTAAAATTGTTCTGTAACTTCTAGGCTTTACCATAAGGAATTGGAAATCTTCTTTAAGAAAATAACCAGTAGTTATGAATAAATTGAGTTTATTCATTATATGTTAGATAAGTAATTTTGAAGGGTATAAGTGCTTCTAGGCCCTGTCCTGAGAACTGGGGATGAAATGGTGAATTAAACAGACAAAAGTCCTGTTTTCATGGAAATTATTGTTTCCATCAGTTTACTAAATCAGCTCAAGTGAGAGAAATCTAGTTTCCTTTTTTAATTGAATTAAAATATTTTGTTATTAAATAGAGAAAACACATAAAAACAGAGAATTGTATAACAAAAGTTTGTGTGTCAACTACTCAGCTTGACAAATCCTAACATTTGGTTTCTTCTTCAGTTTTCTTTTGTAGATAATTAAAGTGACAAATTGGTAAGTTTTGGTATATGCATACATTCTTGAAACCACCATTCAAGAAAATTAATGAATTTATCACCCTCGAAAGTTTTCTCATGACCTTTTGTAATCTCTCTATCTACATGTCACCCCCACCCCAAGCCATGCCCAGGCAACCACTGATTTGATTTCTGTCACTATAGATTAGTTTGAATTTTCTAGGATTTTATATAAATGGAATCATACAGTATGTGCTCTATTTTCATCTGGCTTCTTTTCACTCAGCATAATTAATTTATGATTTATACATGTTATGAGTATCAGTAATTCATTTTCACTTCTTTACTAAGTAGCAATCTGTGATATGGATATAGGAAAATTTATTTATCCCTTTACCTATCGATGGACATTTGGACTTTTTCCAGTTCGGGGCTATCACACATGAAGCTGTGATAAACATTCACATTTGAGTCTGTGGGCATATACTTTCATTTCTCTTGGGCAAAAAGCAAGAGGTGGAATGATTAGGTCATATGGTAGATTCATTTTTAACTTTATCAGGAATGCCAAACTGAGTTTCTAAAGTGATTATACCATTTTACATTACCTCCCATTAGTGAAGAAGTGTTCACTCTACATTACTGAAGAAGAGTTCCAGTTGCTCCACATCCTTCCAACATTTGATATCATTAAATTTTTAAATCTTAGATATATTAAATTGTGTGTAGTGGTATCTAATTTTGCTTTTAATTTTTCAGTGATGTTGAGCACTTTTTAATGTGTGTATTTGTTACCTGTGTTTTTTTCTTTCATGAAGTGTCTGATCAATTCATTTGTCCATTTTTTTATTGAGTCATTTGTCTTCTTACAATTGAGTTTTAAGAGTCCTTTACATATATATTCTAGATACAAGGAAATAGTAATAGAGTTCTACTCCTAGATAAACACTGTTGAAACTCCTAATTTAAGGAAATAATAAAGATTCTGCAGTTATCGAAGCAAAATTGGCCCTTGTCAAGAGAATAGAAAGTTAACTGATTTCAGATTTTTTTCTGCTGTATTAGATGCTAGAAGAATTTGGAGCTCTATGAATAGACTGAGTTTTTAAAAATTACTTCTTTTTTTGAATATGTAATGCATTTAAGTTGTTGAAAATTCAAAAGTGGAAGAAAGGTTATAAAAGGAAAACCTCCTTTCACTCCTGTTCCTTGACTTTCCATTTAACTTCTCCACAGACAACCAGCTTTTATCAGGTTTCTGTATGTATCTTTCCAGGTATATCTTATGCAAGTTTATGCAAATTCCATTTCACAAATTTCCATTCACAAAGTGAGCACTGCACATTGTTCTGAACCACATTTAACTGAACCATGAGACTCAGAGATTTCTACATTATTTGGGTATTAAAGAATTCTTTTATGGGCAGACAATATTCACTGGACAGTGTAATTAACTGCCTCACTTGCTGTGTAATAAACCACTAAAACTCATTGAGTAAAAAAAAATTGAATAAATCACTGAAAACTCAGTGGCTTAAAACAATTCTTTATAAGCATAGCTTATGCATCTGTATGTTGGCTGAGGCTTAGGTGGTTTGGCTTGGACTTGGTTGGCAAACTTGGCTAAGCTGTGCTGGCTCACTCTTCTGCAAATTGATTGGTGGGCTCTATTTTAGGTTGGGCTTGACTGAAACACCTTATTTGAAGACAGTTCTGCTCCAAATGGCTGTTACGTTCTTCCTAAGACCAGTGGAATAGCAGCCGAAGCAGTAGAAGCACAAGAGCGGGCAGGCCTGATCCATGCCTTTTAAGATACTGCGTCCATCACATCTGTCACTATGCTGTCAGCCAAGGCACAGCACATGCTAAAGCTGAGGTACCGCAATTTTATTTCAACAACCTCCTATTAAGAGACTATTAGCTTTTTGCTATTATAAGCAATGCAGCAGTGACTAAGTACACATGTCATCTTTTGTATATACTAATATCTCTTTGAATAAATGCTGAGAAGTGAACTTCGAAATTAAAAGATGGGCTTTTGCAATTTTGATAGGTATTGGGAAGCACTGTTTAGAGATTATTGTAACTGTATATTCCCATCAACAATATTGGAGCTATGTTATCATTTTTTATTTTTACCAATCTTGCACATGAAAATGTTATTTTTGCATAGCTCTAACTTGTATTCTTTAATTGTAAGTGAGGTTGACAATCTTCATATGTTTAAAAACAATTTATATTTCCTCCTGTTCATATCTTATGCCCATTTAGTTCCAATGGGTTTTTAAATTTTTCTCAATTGATTAATATATCTTAAAGAAACTAATACTTATTAAATTAGGGCACTCACCCCCCCCCAAAAAAGCTCCTATAATTAAAAACAACAAGCAGAACCACAGTCTAACCAGTTCACCAGGGAGTCAGTGAGAGAGCTAAGCAAAGCCCTCTTGAAGTCAAAACAAATCTTAGAGATGGCTTAAAAAACTACTCTTCCTTGCATTTAATTATTAATTTAATGTCTTACCTCAGGCTGCCAATGCCATAAAGTCATAGTGAAATGCCATAAACTAGGTTAAATATTTTGTTCTCATAGTTCTAGAGCCTGGAAAGTCCCAAGTCTCGGTATTGGCAGGGCGGGTTACAGTCTGGGGCCTCTTGGCTTGGCTTGTAGGCAGCCACCACCTTGCCTGATGCTCATACAGCGTCTGTGCGCACGGCCAAGAGAGGGCGCTCTGGCGTTTCCGCTTCCCCTGGTAAGAACTCTAGCCCCTTGGGAGGCTCCCCTTAATCTCAACCCGATTACCTCCCGCAGCCTCGCCTTCTAACACAAGCACATTCGCTTCAACATACGAGTCAGGGGGTGGGTGGATGGAGCCACACAATATTCAATCTTTTATTTTAAACTTAACTTTTTCAATAAACAAAATAATTCATTCTAGTTATAAGATGGTATAAATGAATATGTCTTCTTATTCCTTAACTAATTTAAAACACAATTGTATATTTTGCTTGTAATTGTACTGTTGGACCAGAACATATAGAAATGTAATATATTTAGCAATAACAACACCAAGAAGGTAGATGAGGCCAAAGCTGTGTTGCGCTAAGGAAATGACCCCTGATGGTAACTTGAATCCTTAAAACATACATGCTGCTGCTGCTAAGTCGCATCAGTCGTGTCCGACTCTGTGCGACCCTATAGACGGCAGCCCATCAGGCTTTCCCGTCCCTGGGATTCTCCAGGCAAGAACACACATAGGGAACCAAAATCAGTAAACAGAAAGGTTACTCTAACAAACTCTCTATATAAACTTGTTCCCATCTTTTCTCAGCCTGTTTAGTACATATAAAATTATATAAGATAGTACTATTGGTAGATTAATAGCATATGCACATGTGACATGTATAACAATGATAGTGGGAAAGGGGAAAGAGAGAATGACACTGCGTGGAAGTAATGTTTTTATATCACATTGTAGTTAAGTTCGTTTAAATCTGAAATAGATTCTGATAATATGTACATAGTAACTCCTAGAGCAATCACTAACAAAATAAGTTTTAAAATAGTGAAAAAGTAATCACAGTAATTAAAGTACTACTCTAGAAAATATTCACTTAATTCAAAATAGAGCAGTAGGGGGAACAGAAGCAAAAAGACATCAGTTCAGTTCAGTTCACTTGCTCAGTCTGTCCAACTCTTAGCAACCCCATGGACTATAGCACGCCAGGCCTCCCTGTCCATCACCAACTCCCGGACTCCACCCAAACCCATGTCCATTGAGTCGGTGATGCCACCCAACCATCTCATCCTCTGTTGTCCCTTTCTCCTCCCGCCTTCAGTCTTTCCCAGCATCAGGGTCTTTTCCAACGAGTTAGTTCTTCGCATCAGGTGGCCAAAGTATTGGAATTTCAGCTTCAACATCAGTCCTTCCAATGAATATTCAGGACTAATTTCCTTTAGGATGGACTGGTTGGATCTCCTTGCAGTCCAAGGGACTCTGAAGAGTCTTCTCCAACACCACAGTTCAAAAGCATCAATTCTTCAGTGCTCAACTTTCTTTATAGTCCAACTCTCACATCCATACATGACTACTGGAAAAACCATAGCCTTGACTAGATGGACATTAGACAGTCATTACATTAGCCAGTAGAAAATAAAAATTTGAATGACAGACATAAATCCAGATATATCAATAATAATATTAAATTCAAATGGGTTAAATAATCCAATCAATAGGCAGAAATTGTCAAATTGGATAGGAAACATGATCCAACTATTTACTGTCTACAGAAGAAGCTTCTTAGGTTCAAAGATACAAGTAGATTGAAAGTAAAAGAATGGAAAAAGATAAAATCATGCAAACATCAACCAAGGAAAGCTAGAATGACTACAATAATATGAAATATAATAGACTTTAAAATGAAAAGAAGATGATACTAGAGATAAAGTGGGCAATTTATAATGAAAGAGTCAAACTATCAGAATGTTGTAATAACTATAGACCTATATGCCCACAACATCAGAGCTCTGAAATACATGAAATAAAAACAAACAGAAATGTAAGGAAAAATAGACAATTTGGCAAAAACAGTTCATGAGTTCACTATCTTCCCCCATAATGGATAGAACATCAAAGCAGACTATCAACAAAGTAAATGGAAATCTTGAACATTATATGCAAAACAGTCTGATGGACATCTATAGAAAATTCCACCCAACAACATCAGGATACACATTTGTCTGAGTATATGCTCATGGTAGACTATATGCTAGGCTATAAAAAAAATCCTCAATAAATTTAAAGGGATTGAAATTATAGAAAGTATTTCTCTGATCAAAGTGGAAATTAGAAATTAATAACAAAGAAATTTGGGATATTCACAAATAATGAGGAATTTAACCAGTACACTACTAAATAACCAATGGGTCAAAGAGGAAGTCAAAAGAAAAATTAGAAAATATTTTAGGATGAATGAGTGAAAATGAAAATATAATATACTAAAATGTACGAGATGTAATTTAAGCAGTTCTCATATGCATGTGTGTTAGTCACTCAGTTCTGTCAAACTCTTTGCGACCCCATGGGCTGTAGCCCACCAGGTTCCCCTGTCTGTGGAATTCTCCAGGCAAGAATACTGGAGTGGGTTGCCATTCCCTTCTCCAGGTATCTTCCCAGCTCAGGGGTTGAACCCACGTCTGCATTGCAGGTGGATACTTGACCACCTGAGTTACCAGGGAAGCTAAGAAATTCTTAGGGAGAGATTTATAGCTGTAAACACCTACTTGTGATCACATTCAGTTCAGTTCAGTTCAGTCACTCAGTCGTGTCTGACTCTTTGTGACCCCATGAACTGCAGCACTCCAGGCCTCCCTGTCCATCACCAACTCCCGGACTCCACCCAAACCCATGTCCATTGAGTCGGTGATGCCATCTAACCATCTCATCCTCTGTCGTCCCCTTTTCCTCCTGCCTTCAATCTTTCCCAGCATCAGGGTCTTTTCCAATGAGTCAGCTCTTCGCATCAGGTGGCCAAAGTATTGTAGTTTCAGCTTCAACATCAGTCCTTCCAATGAACACCCAGGACTGATCCCCTTTAGGAGGGACTGGTTGGATCTCCTTACAGTCCAAGGGACTCTCAAGAGTCTTCTCCAACACCACAGTTCAAAAGCATCAATTCTCCAGTGCTCAGTTTTCTGTATAGTCCAACTCTCACATCCATACATGACCACTGGAAAAACCATAGGCTTGACTAGATGGACCTTTGTTGGCAAAGTAATGTCTCTGCTTTTTAATATGCTATCTAGGTTGGTCATAACTTTCCTTCCAAGGAGTAAGCGTCTTTTAATTTCATGGCCGCAATCACCATATGCAGTGATTTTGGAGCCCAGAAAAATAAAGTCACATTACTTCATGGCAAATAGATGGAGAAACAATGGAAACAGTGACAGATTTTATTTTCTTGGGCTCCAAAATTACTGTAGATGGTAACTGCAGCCATGAAATTAAAAGACACTTGCTCCTTGAAGAAAAGCTATGACAAACCTAGGCAGCATATTAGAAAGCAGAGACATCACTTTAACAAAGTCTGTATAGTCAAAGCTATGGTTCTTCCAGTAGTCATGTATGGATGAGAGTTGGACCATAAAGAAGGCTGAGCACTGAAGAACTTATGCTTTTGAACTGTGGTGTTGGAGAAGACTCTTGAGACTCCCTTGGACTACAAGGAGATCCCACCAGTCAATCCTGAAGGAAATCAACCTTGCACATTCATTGGAAGGACTGATGACTAAGCTGAAGTTCCAATACGTTGGTCACCTGATATGAAGAGCAGATTCACTGGAAAAGACCCTGATGCTAGGAAAGATTGAGGGCAGGAGGAGAAGGGGACAACCGAGGATGAGATGGTTGGGTGGCATCACTGACTTGATGGACATGAGTTTGATCAAACTCCAGGAGATTGCGAAGGACAGGGAAGCCTGGCATGCTGCAGTTCATGGGTTCACAAAGAGTCAGATACAACTTAGCAACTGAACAGCAAACACCGGCATGGGGGGATAAAAGGAAACAATCTCAAACAATGATTAAACATTTCACTTAAGATACTGGGAGGACTTCTGCAGTGGCCCAGTGGCTAAGACATTGTTCTCCCAATGCAGGGAGCCTGGGTTTGATCCCTGGTCAGAGAATTAGTTCCCACATGCCACAACTAAGACCTGGCACAGCCAAGTAAATAAAAATAAATATCTTTTTAAAAGATACTTGGAAAAAGAGGATCAAATTAAACCCAAAGCAAGGATAAGGGAGGAATAATAATAATTAGAACGGAAATAAATGAAATGGATAAAATAATAAAGAAAATCAACAAAAGCTAAAGTAAGTTCTTCAAGGTCAAAAAAATTGATAAAACTTTAAAAAGACTCCAATTACTAAAATCAGAATTGAAAGAAAGCACACTATCATCAGCCTTACAAAAATAAAAAGAATTATGAAAGAATGCTATGAATAAGAGTGTACCAATAAAAGTGGTAATTTAAATGAATGGAAAATTTTCTAGAAAAACACGTTACTAAAACTGCCTCAAAAAGAAATAGAAAATCTGAATAGACTTCTAACATGTAAAGAGACTTGATTAATAATCAAAAAACTTTTCACAAGGGGAAGCCAATGACCAGGCAACATCACAGGTAATTTATACCAAACACTTAAATAAGAATTCTAATTTTTCATTAATTTTTCCAAAAATAGAAAAGAAGGTAACATTTCTTTTTTATTGAAGTGTTGTTGATTTGCAATGTTGTGTTAAGTGCACAGTAAAGTGATTCAGTTATATATATGCATACATACATACACACATACTCTTTTTTCAGATTCTTTTCCATTATAGATTATGAGGTATTGAAT